GTGAAGAGGAAGTGGACACAACAGAGAGCCTGCTTTGGACATTTAGCTCCCAGAACTGTGAGGAAATAAAGTTATGCTTTTTAAGGCCAAACTTTTGTGATATTTCTGCTATGAGAGCGTTAAAGAACTATGACGAGATCAATTGATTTGTTTGATCACTCAATACCAAGGTCAAGTCTGAAACTGGCAAGGCAGGTGAGCTTGGCCCTTTCACAGACAGCAGGAACACCTTGAAAAGTGAGCACAATGGTAGCTTCTAGTAATAGTGGGGAACCGTGAACGCTCAGTGGTGCAATATCACTGGTTGAGGTGCACTCTGAGAAATCACTCACCGGAAATATAATGCACTCTATCATTGACACAAAAGGGGAAACATTTTAATGTCCAAAGAGGTAAATAGTTAATCAAACAATAGTGACAGTGAATAATTAGGTGGTCTTTAAATGATGATTTAAAAAAAAAATAGAAAGATACTTAATTCTAAAATGTTAAATTGGAAATACAAAATGTACAAGCATTATTATATCAGCTATATGAAATGCATTAATATATAAAGAGAAATTGGATAGAAACATGAAAAATTCATGGTTGATTTGTAAGATTATGGGTGATTTCTGTCTCATTTCAAAACCTCCTACTATACTACCTTTGACTACGTCTATTTTTTGTTTACTAGTTATTTTGGTTGTTCACAATATATACAGGGTGTTTAATTAGAGGCCCTTGGATAATATACCTCCAGCAACTACAATGCCTATAAAAGTTATTATAATTACAATTGAAAGAAGAAAAAAAATCAGAGCAATAATTAATAATTAGAAAAGGTTACTAATCCATGTTTAAATGATCACTTAGTATGCACATCATTTAAGATACCAATATTTTGGTAACTAAGAGAACAATAAACAAACTTCATGTCAGAAAGTTAAAAAAAATAATTACAAAACTTCCACGAAAGAGGCAGTGCTAAAGAGCATGCTTTGTCCGGTGATTCTGGGGGGTGGTGAAGTCGCGTTCATCCCAGCCTACCTTCCAGAAGCCAGGGCCTTGGTGCAGAGGGATGAGTTCTCGCTCCACTTTTCCATCTCCGTGGCCCGCAGCAAGCCAACACTCTGCAGGGAAGAACCAGCTTTGCCCCGTGCACAGGTCCTGCACCAGCAGATGGCTGATGTACCAGCTTGGAGAAGGACCACGGTTGTTGTGCCAGAGGCGGACCTTCCACAGAGGACCAAGACGACCAGGAACACTGAGGAGAGATGCAACAGTACCTCAGCCACCAGTATTTGGTGGGCCGGCTGGCCCAGAAGTACAGAGAAGCCGGGTGTTTTACCCTTAAGGCACACTTGACCAACTAGCGTGCATCAAACGTATAAAACTAGTTGTGACTCATCGTGATCCCATGTGTGTCAGACGTTTAATAAATATCATGCCTAAGGGCATGTACAGGCTGTGGTTTGTGGGTGTTCATGAGGTAGAAAATGAATTCTTGGAAATAACTCAAATCATACCAAGATTGTGGCTGTGAGACCTAGGAAAAGTGACTGTACACATAGGCCCCTAATATCGACCAGTCCACCTTTACCAAATTTAACCAAAATCTCAGTGATTTATTTCATCTTGCTTGGATTAGTCTGAGTTCATCTTTATTCTAGTGGTGAGGACACAAGAGCATAAAGAAATCAGAGGACACTGATAATCTTTTCTAGAAGAAAAAAA